AAACGGGAGTAATACACAACAACTTATCATAAAATGCCCAGTTGTGGCCGGCTGCCATTTACCAGAGAAAGGGAAGGGTCAAGGTGGATGAATTGTACTCATCAGACTGTTGAGCTCGTGTGTCACACACACACACAGACGCACTTTGTCTGTTCTATAGAATCGGTAGAACAGAACAACGGAATTCATGAAGTTTGGTTGATGCGAGGGGAGGGGGAGGACAGAATGATAAAGAATAAAAAGGCACTCCGTTCGTTACAAACAGTTTAAGATGGTTCTACAAGAGTATGTTAAAGTACATCGATTCCGAAGGAAAGGTCTCCTGACACGATTAAGCAAAAAAGGAGGATGATATGAGCAGACAAAACGAAAAAAAAACATCGCATTTGTTCATGTCAGTGACCAAACGGGGCACAATGCACCATGGAAAAACTTCGACGACGGATTGGGTCAGATAAATGGAGAGGGAATGGGAATGAATAATTTTCGATACAAAATAGAAAAATAACACAAACAACAAAAAATCATTTTACTTCCCTCAGATTACATTGAATACACAGTGGTAGCCAATTTTACGGCAGGGGAATGAGGCTAATTAGAAACTGCCCTGGGTCAAGCATAAGTAGGAAAAACGGGCAGCAGCGACAAGATTTTAACAGACTAATACAGAGTAAATGAAGCGTAAACCGAAAGGCTAGGAAGCACCGAACAGCTGGTTCGACCTCAGCAGCGCGAATCGATCGATCAAACCTTGGATCGAACCCGGGACCTCATAGGCGGAATGTAAGCATACTACTCAAATAACCAATGAGCAGCTGATCAGACTGTTCTTATTTCGTCTTCAAGCCCATTCATAACCCTGGGGGCTGGTGCCTAGATTATGGGCAGCGGTGTTCAGACATTAATTCCGTCCGTCCCATAACCATATATTCAATTTCCATTTATCCACAACAACAATCTGATTGGCTGTACTCCGACCCGAAAATCGGTTGTGATATCTAAAAAAAACAAGTTGCCAGACAGATTCATTCTACAGCCTCTCACTATCACTGTAGTCGGAAAGCTACTAAATTTCGTATTGAAAATTTATTTGGTTAGAAATAGAAAACAATATGGTGGCTGGTGAGCTACTGACATAATCACCTTTGTTTGCAAACATTGCTCCCGGACCGGAACAGGGTCTAATCCGGAGGATATACACCTCCTTGGAAGCTACTGCCAACGTGTGGAATGACTGACCCATATGCGGGGCAAATTGCACATCGTATACCGCGTCCTCAAGAGCACGAATATCCTCGATTAAATCCCAATGTCGACGACTTTCCGAGTACTCATAAATGACCACTTTACCATTAACTAGACTTGTACTGCTTCCGCCAGTCCCAGAAATGGTAGCAACACTAACCCCACCACCGGGGCCCCCAACACTTCCGGTGCCACTGCCACCACTGGCAGAACCAGTGGTAACGCTCCCACTGGTGGCGGTGGCAGCTGTGCCGGAACTGCCGACTGACGGATTTGGAGCTGTTCCGGTCGCATTTGAGCCAGTCACTGTACCCGAAGAAGAGGATACTGCATCCGAAGGATTCTCGACATTGGAATGCGGGCCACATGGGGTAGCACTACCCACTGCGATCAACGGAGGATCAAGGCGCGACTTTTAAGAAAGGGAAGAAAAGATAAAATACGAACTACTTGAAAACGGTGCAACAGGAACAGTAGGAATGACTCGAAAAATAACTAAGATTAACGAACAATGTAAGAATTGGTGACTGATTGCACAAGTTGAAAAAATATGGGATGAGTACAGCTTGCTCAATGAAACTGGATAAAGTTTTAGTGCGATTCGTCTCAAAAGGGATAAATGCGGAGCCAAATAGTGGTGTTAGTCAGGGTTGCTCTCTTTCTCCGTTTCTATTTAACTTTGTTGTATATGTAATTATTGAAACAGCCCTATCGTCGTATTTTATTACGCGCAGCAGACGGGTTAAACCCTATACTTACGAAGACCTGCTGTTCATTAATGGAATTGAAGATTCAGATGAGTTGCAAGCATCTTTGGAGTTTGAGTGCCAGGGTAGCCATGCTAGGAATGCGTTTTGCAGCTTCAAAGTGTAAAATATTGCTACAACATTGGGTTGGCCCAGTCTCCAACCTCATCCTGACTGAGAAAGCAGACAAATTTCGCGATTTTTGCAGTTATATTTTAACTGGCAGATGCATCACGGATAAAGTGACGGCATCGACCAACTTTAGGCGCCGTCGCGACATGCGCCTATCTGTGAATGGTCGAGTGTATGCTGCAGTAGTTCAGACAGTGCTACCATACGGTGCAGAGACTTGATCATTACAGGAACGGGATAAAAATAGATTATTGGTGTTCGAACACCGCTGTCTATGCAGCATTGCACGGATCTGGTGGGGAAATCGGACAGGCAATGCTGAGGTGAGGCGTAGAATTTTAGGTGATCGCGGTCGCCCACTAGAACAAGAGGTCGATCTCCATAGGTTACGATGGCTGGGACATGTGTAGCGCATGTCATCAAATGGGCTGCCACGGCGAACGATGTTAGCCAAGGTAGGTGTTGGATGAAAAAAGGTGAAGGGCGGTCAGACTAAGACTTGACATGAGGGTATGAAAACCCTAACCAGGACACAGGGTCACGTAGGTTCCGTCAGACCCCCTGGATCGGGACCCTGAGACCAAGGTAACTGGGGCTTAGAGACACATTGAGTGTCGCAAACAGTGGCGTTCGTGCATCTACTCATTATTCTTGCGACCGCTGTCTGTATGAATTCTCTATCTTCACTTTGACTCTGCTTTCAACATTTCGATCTTCAAATCTGCTCTCTTATACAAAGTGGCGGCCAAAAGACAGCAACCAAAACCGACTCACGAAAGTGGATGGTTAATGGTTATAAAAGCTGAAACTGAATAGCTTAATCGACAGTCCCCCATTGTGTGATGAACACCGGAATGAGTAACCTCAAGAGTCAATAGACAATCCAAACGCCGAGACTTGAAGTAAAGGTCTCATGGGATTAGGTAAGACATTAAGTCAGGTACCAGCTAAGTTACCTAACACCAAAATTCGGTGGCGAGGTTTGAATAAGGACCAATGACGCCATCACCACACATATACAAAACTTCCCAGTCAAACTTTGAGACGGCCGGAATCAATGTTAGCTCATGTCCAGGAGGAAGATTCTTGAGATGACTCATGCTGTAGAATGATTTCATTCCCTTTAGAGATAGACTGATCGACCTGAGGTTGTAGTAGGTGGGCCGATCTTTATTACATATTTCATATACGCTTGAGTTTAGATTATGTGCCAAGCAAATCGGAGTACAATCTACATAAAAAGAACAAGTTTAATGACTTTCTTGAGAACGAATTACTGCTAGGTTGCCCAAGCCAAATCAGGTGAATTTTTGCGGGGAATTCACAACCTGAACCGTCGGCTGATTGAAGTCTGACCAGCAAGGCAGCAGCGCGGTATGTGAAAACCGCCATTTATTGGAGGCAGGTGTCCTGTTCATCGGATCATACTCCCTTTGGATGGGGTCAACTTTCCAAGGTGCCCAATACACCGATGGGATTGAGTACCAATACCCCTAGATCATATTCAAATGGAGCCAGATATTTTATGGTATGGTGTCAAAATTCTCACGTGTAACCACAATGTTTGTGAGACACAAGTATTTAGCCAATCAAAAAATTGCGATATCCTTGGTCGGCTGCCTTCGGAGAGTTCGAGTTTTCAATCCTCTGTTGCTGACTTACATTGGAATCCTAATGATCGATAAGCAACCGCTTGCTGACCGGCAGTTTACACTTGTAAGCAACACTGAGACACCAAACATGATTGTGAGAACTGGATGGTAAGTTTCTTGCAGGTGAAAATGGTTTGTTTAGGAATGTCAACTACGGGATTCAGGTCCTACGAGTATGTCTTGGAGACATCTTACAAGATTCAACCAATAATGCTTGCCGATTGTTTGAGAGACTCGGAAGACGCTGAATACACCGAATTAGGACTCCCTTTTGATTTGGGCAATAAATTTAAAGTAAAATCAAACGGATGAAGAAAGAGTGAACTTACCTGAGACCAGGCCAGACAGGATCCGGCCATTTTGGTGCCAAAATCGAATTGCATTCGCCACTGACTAAGGTTCATCACGTCCTATAAGTAAGAAGTAGACGCATCGTGTTTAATTTCTCCGATGTATGCGCAAAAACAGCGTATTGCAGACAGAAGGTTTCGAGTCTTCTCCCGATTATCCAAATCAATAGCAATGGTTTATCTATGGAAAACGAAGGATCAGTGAACCAGCTTGCAGATATCAGAAGCGGAACACGAGAAAAGGATACGATTCAGTTTGTAAACCGCCGTGCCAGAATATGAACTGATCACGTTTTATTCCTTGCCATCATTACCCCATCGCTCAATAGCGTTTGGCGATAACGCCCGTCCGTTGCATTCAGTTTGTCTATCGTCTAAAGCGTGTAATGCATTGTGAAATCCCATTCATTGCAAAGTTGAACAAGAAAGTCCCAAAAAACAGCATGCATTGCGTTGAACTGGAGTGCAGCTCTATCTTTACCTCGAACACGACTTGAACTACATGGGTACAGCGGAAAAAAAAATAATTTCGTTGTTCACAGATAAACAGATCAGAAAGACCGAAAACCGCTGTTCTACTTTAAGTAAACCTAAGATACAGCGCTGGCATACATAGAACATACAAGAAAATGAGGAGATCGAGGGAAATGCCGAGCAAGTTGGAATGATTAGACCTGTTGTTGGTGGTGGATGGTTCTGTGAGCTGGAAATGTTTGTAGACCGGATGCTAGTTCCCTCTTCTTTGTTTTTCGATTTGGTTGGTAGTAACTCATCGCTATTCAAATTCATTCAGTAGTCTTGTGAACAAAGTGTACTGATGATAATGTGCGAACTTAGGGCGTGACCTGAAGCAACCTACTTGTTATCAGAAACGCTTGTTGTTTTCATGTACAAAAGACAACCATGCTGAGTAATAATGATGGATCAGGCGAGAAAATATTACCAAGAGGACTTTCATCTAGCGTGGTAAATCAACAAGATTAACAGTACGTGACTGGGAAACACTGCAAAGCGACAAACAATAATGAGTTTGATCCAAATTGACTTGACTGACCATGGCTTCATAGATACGCAACATGCCGTCAGTGGAGACGGCCGCCAATTGCAGTCCAAGGTGTCGAGGTGCGAACTGTAGACCGGTAACCGGAGTGCGTGAATCAACCAGGCTGGTTCGCCGAACCCAACTGGTATTTGCACTGGGAGTCGCATTGCTTCCGTGCTGTCTGATTGGCGGTCCTGAAATCCCACCATGCAAAGTATGACCATCGGTTTCATGCAACATATTTGAACCAGAGGGCTACAGCAAAAAACGAAGTTAGAAGTGAACAGAAATAACTTGATCGGAAGTGAAAATCACTAAACACGATTTGTCGGTACAAAGACAAGACAAACACTGACAAATGTTAATAGTAATTTTATTCTTAACGAATCAGAACACGAAGAATGAGGATTGTCCCACGACTGTGTTTATCACAAGCTGAACGCAGTCAACTTTATAAATGTTCTTTCTGTAAAACATATCTGATTACAACCCAATTCAGTTACAGTGGAAACAACCCCAAACTATGCAATTTTGTGCGGTGGTTTTGATTATTGTGCTTTGGTTGCTCATGTGGATGAAAGAGTAGAAGGAAGACTGGAATGTTGAGAGTAGTGTTTGACTGCGCTTTCAACTAAATTGGTCTCCACATGGTTATGCGGAACGTTTTTCCCCATCTAATCGTGTGTCGCACTCATACAGATTTAGACTGTAATATCAACCAAGGTTGATTTACCAGTCTTTGGTGGCCACGTTTTGTGTACTGTTTTGACAGTTGTTTCACTCTTGTCCGGACTCATCAGCAGTTTATGTGTCCCCGCAGAGACTCAAGTTATGCGAACTTCCACTCTGGGAGACGGAATTTACGCACAGGATTTACACGATCAAAGACTACAATCTTGAGTGATTGCCACATCAGTTAATTTAACATGTTCTTCATTTATAACCTCTTCGAGAATGGCCACTATGTACGTTAGCCATTCGGATGAATATTACGGAAGCAGATGATGAGACAGATAGAAAGGAAAATACAGTTTTTCTATCACAAATATGATTAGAGAAGTGAAAACCATGGATTTGCATGATGTATCCATGATCATATCGCTGTATAATGTAATCAAGGTTAGTGTTGTAGTCAGCGAAATAATACATTGTGCAAACCCACGTTTGTCACTTCCCTATACAAATCCACCAATGAGTTGCCCACTTCGGTTAACAATACAAAACATAAAACTTGGCTCACAATCCGATCTCTGTCAGATCGGAGGTCCTGGTCTTCCACTGCCACCGAACTTTAAGGAGTGGGCGGCTTTTTGTTCGCGCAGTTTTCTGCTAAGCCTATTTCATTCAAGCCTTACGCACCTTATCATTCCACGTTCCAGGATTTAGGTCACCAATTCTCATTATCGAATACCAGGTCCTCATGATTACGGGGGTTCACCTCTTGCGCCGTTCATCTCGGTAAAATGTACGAAAACAAAGAACTTCATGAGAGCTACAGAGAGCTATTGAATCAGGAAACAAATGGAACAGACTAAGTGTGGGCAACCAGTGCTCGAGGACAGCATGATTAGAGCGAATAGATGCACACAGTGCACCAATGAGCATCATACTGAAAAACGATCGTGTTATAACTGTACGAGATTTTAGGAAGACAAGACAGAAATATGAACCCTTGATATTGATCATAATAAACGGATCTTAAATGAGACCGAACTGACACGAGCCAAGTCCGTATCGTCCCAGCGCACCTACCTGTCCGCCAGCGACTTCTTCCCAGATGGCGATGGTTCGGTCGAAAGAGCAGGTGGCAATAACCTGACCGAATTCCGGATGGGCCCACGTGACACGCCACGCCGGGCCCAAATGACAGCGCCATCGAGCAGTGCAAACCCACTCGCCGTCAGCACGCAGATCCCATATCTACAAAAGATGATCAAAAGAGAATTACTTTCGAAACCTGGGAGAAATAGTATTTCAGTATGTAGTTTACACCGATCTGGACCCGGATAAGGGGGTCGAATGATCATGGTACAAGCATATTCACGGAGAACGACTACAAGTTAACACGTAGGTAGATGAAGTACGAAAAAATAAATGAGACTATGCATTTAACTTTGAACAGGGCCTTCAGATTTGGCCATACTGCTTTTGCGAACATCATTTTACGTTACTGCAGTAACATTGATGGAATTATCAAGTTCATCCGCCGTATCCATTTCAAGAACAGAAACACTATCATACGCGTTCGATATTTTAAAGTCGCTACTAGTTGTTATTCAGTGTAGAAAAAAAACATTTACTAAACATAGAAAACAGTTATAAGAAAAAGGTCGAAAAATATGCGAAAACACCCGAGCTGAATGGCAAGGTGATTAAAGAAGCTGTCCTATTGAGAAGATCGAGGTTCTAGTGATAATATGAACTGCTGTATGCGTGTGTACAGATGCAGCGAAATGATACAGATTTTAATCCTGTTGTGATTGACAACATTCACTTGGTTCCTGGAGCATTTTCAATGGGCCTCAACAAAGTCGCTGATCTTCTACCTAGCTCGTTGACACCTTAGCGCGTCACCGTTGACAACTTGGCACAACGGCCCTCGCAGTACTCAGTTTACTATGCGTGGTAACTTGTCTGACAAGATTTGATATTCACCAAAGAAAGTAATTTGTATTTCATCCAGGAGCGAGCACCACTGGGAAGCTGTGAATATCGCTGTGTTCTCCGAGTTAAACAGTTGAACTAATCAACGATCGCGCTACTCAAGTGATAAAACAGTGAAACTATTCAGCCCAAACTTTCAGACGAATAAGAATGGCTACGGACCACACGAATTTCTCGGTGTGCGCAAATTAAGATCTTACGGTCTTTTGTGCAACACCAAGCAGACTGCCGGAACTTCTGTTTTGAACAATATGGCTCAAGTGAAATTATCGGTATCCGTGCGGATGTGGTTTTCCGCAGAGCTGAAACAACTAGGAGGAAATCAACAAAAACCACTTTTTACCGGAGTTACTCAGGTTCAAAATCCAACATGTGAATAAACTCAACATTGAAAATGTGTTGGCAAATATCACCTGTCATGATCTGTGGCTAGTATTCAAACGGATTTGTAGTAAGGATTTGCGACAGACAGTACAAATGTTGAGCAACTCAATACTGAATGCAGTCAACCGTCATAATGTGCAATTATGTAAATCTGGCATCACTTAGACGGGACGAAATATTTTGATCAAAGGTACATAAAAACGCTTTATCACGTGTTCCCTAATTAATGCGTTCACTCACTAATATAACTATTCAACGCAGGTCAGCATAATTCCAGAAGTCTGTCGGCCGGTCACAATAACACCGGTTCCGACGAAGAAACGATCACAATAAAGAACTATTCAATGCACCTCAATGTTATTAACTCTTTGAAAAAGAAGATATTAATCAGTTTGCCTACGAATTGACACCCATCAAACTAGGGACGCTAAGGACCATCTCACGCACTCAGCGGGATCTACATTTGACAATTACTACACAACTGTCAGTTTACTGTTTCTGGGATACAAAAATACATTTGATTATCTCGCTAGAGTAGTCTCACTAAATGCTGTCAGAAAACAACATGGAAGCACTTATTGCGAGAGCATGAGTTCTTGATAACTGCACTCATTCTAACTGAAAACAGTTCTCCCTTCTTATCAGTTTCCGCGCACTAGAAGGAGTAATTCTTCTTGTCCATGTACATATAGAGCATCTTTACATTTCACCCACTTTGCTGCATAACAAAGATGTGGTCTTTGGATGTGAACCGTTTAGTTCTGAAGTACTCTCACTGCTTAAAAGGACGGAATTAGCGAAATGTTTAACTGGCAAGTCAAATACTGCGAGAGGAATTCCTTTCGTATACTCTCATCGGTCGCGTACGTATAACATCGAACAGGATAGAAAAATGAAGCGAATTAAGAAATCTAGTTAGTATTAAACATGTGTGTGATTGTGTACAGTGTGTGTAATGCACGTGATTGGTTACAGCCAGGGAAGGCCAAGGGTAAAGGTCATACGTTTTTGGATACACAGTGTGGGTTTGTTGTGAGCGATCGATAATGTACACAATCACACACACATGGTTAATACTAACTAGATTTCTCAATTCGCTTCATTTGTCTATCTTGTTCGATGTTATACGTACGCG